TGCACAAATTTCACTCTAACTCCTTCCCAAAGTCAGTTCTTCCTCCAGTAATGCTTACAGGGCCCTAGCATCTAGCTGGCACTGGTTCACTGATGGTAGAATTCAGAAACATGCTGTGGGCATCATTGCATTTTGCTATTCCACCCTTTTTTATGTTTGCTTCCTACAGCCACAAGAGAATTTGAGTCTTGTTGCAGCTTGTTGACACAGTCATGCAATGGAGACTCCCTGGTTAAGGGCCTCAAAACCTTAACATCAACAGCATATTTCAGTACGAAGCATTCTTCTGCCAGCCAGCCCAGATGTGCCTGAGTGACATAAAAAAGCTAACAAAAACACTGTGCTTTTGTCACCATAACCGTATGTGGATCAAGGGATGCAGGGTGTTGCTACTGCAGACAGAAAAGAATTTTTTTCCCCCACTCTCCTAGTCATCATGGTTATCCAGGAAAAACATGGTCTTGTTCTGCTGTGGAGGAACTCAGCTGTCAGAAATCAGTAGAATAAAGAAGTGAGAAAGTGACTTCCATCACATTGTGAAGAAAAAAAAATCACAGGATTTGTCTGTTACAAGCCATTTTTGTTCCTCTGCATTAAGCAAAGTAGCAGAAAAGGTGAAACTAAGAGCAGTCACGTTTACTCAAATGCTATGGATGCTGACCAAGGGAACATCGAGGTTCTTCAAGTCTTTCATTAACACCCGCTGAACCAGTGAGAACTGCTCACTCAGCAAACACACAGCTTGGCGTGACTCAGAATTTAAAATGAATTTCCCTAGCATTCATGGTCTGTTATTTTGCTTGAGAAGAAAGCCTAGGTGATATGCCAACACACATGCAACACCTTTTAACTTTCTCATCAGTAAGAAAAATGCATGAGTGACCAAACTAGAGAGACAAGAAGTGACATTTCTAGCAACTAGAAGGACAATTTATTCCTCCCATGCAAGTAGCTGGATGCTAAGGGAAGTGAAAATTTTATTTCAGTCTGTGGTTCAAGTGATAACTGTACCAGAATGGAGGAATTTCTCTTCTGTATTTTTCTCAGCACAGTCCTAGCACTGTGTTTCTAGCAGGTGAATTTCTATCAGGGTAAGAAGCAACTAAAATTGCCAGTGGCATCTCATCAGCTTCACATAATGCTGCCCATGTACACATAAATTGTGTAAATGACCTGCATGTGAATAGGAAATCCAGCACAACCCAAACGGATCTGATAATTTCTATGCAGGTGGCTTGGCTGTGCAGCTTATGGTCAGTAAATTGCAGGCTCCTTATTTGATAATGTCATAGAAGCTGTCCTTAGCAGTCTGTTTTAGGGCCTGCTTATGATCGATAAGCTATGACTTTTCTTAATGTTTAACCAACTTTTCTTAAGACTTGCTTCATTACCTTCTGAAACCATAAAAGAGAGCTCTTCCTTTGATTGTATTTTTAAAGGTAATTTTAGATTGTAATCACATCTTTCCCTGAAAACTGTCTTTTCTTAAACCGCAGACTTGCTTTGGTCTCTCTTTAACACCTCGTAAGGTGTTTTTTCTGACCTCAGATTTTTACAGTTGCAAAGTTACAAGTGCAAACAGCTGTGAGTTGGAGAAGCTATCATTTGAAGTCTAAATATGTAATTATTTAAGGGTAAGCCATGCAATGTAAGGGATCAAATACTTTAAAGCATTTTTCAGTTGTGCCTGGAAGTAATACGGCCAGGTTTATACAAAACTAAATATAAAAGCTCCAGGCTGTGTCTTATCCATTATGTCTTTCATACTTTGGATTGCTTATCTCTGAATCATCAATAGTTCTCCTAATGTGTACAAGAAGAAAGAATCGTGGCAAACAGCACAAGTGCAGCTGAACAAAGATTATTACTTAGGCTGGAACAGCTCTCTGTTCCAATTTTACTGCCAGCTGTATCAAATATCCAAGTCTTATATTTAGTGCCTTAGGACCCAACTTCCTAGTGTTGTGTTGCATTATATTTGTGTAATTTCATGAGAAGCTCTTCCCATTTTAAAAGAGAGTAAATATCAAATATTAACAGTTGCATAGAACAGTTTGATAAAATAATTTCAAAACAATTATATTTTTCTCTATCTGTGTTTTTTCCTCCCACTTGTGGATTTTTTTCTCCCAGTTAACCTCATGATTTTACTAGGAAGGGTGACTAACTTGTGATGTCTGAAAGTCTTGGAGCTGACATTGCTGAACAAGTTCTCTATTTATTTCTCTGGATCTAGTAGCAGCACAAGGCAAGCTTTGTAGAAAGCGCTAAGATCTTTTATTAGACAACTGATCCAGACAGGAAAAACATGCAGAAGTGTTTTCAAACTTTTAGCATTGCAATACACAAATATACATGTGTATTAAATGTACATGAAGTTCCAGTCTCTAGCACCTGGGGAGGTGAAAATTCCTCCTCCACTTCATTGAATACTGAGTCAGAGATACCCAAAGACCAACAGAGTTCTTGGCATAGTAGCTTTCAAAAAGCTTTCCTTCAGTTTACATTTGTATAGTGTATCTCCCCTTCCTAAAAGTATGGGGAGGTGTCGTTTTTCTCAGGTGGAGTTTACTTGGTGTATATAACCTTTATTTGCGCAAGACAGCTTGCTTGTCTTCTGTATTTTCTACCCTACAATTTTTATGACCAGCAAATCTGAGACTGATACGAATACTTCTCTGACTGCTTTCACTAAAATGACCTCTCCTTCAACAACATTAGTTTCTAAGCTGAGAGCAAGGAAAACTACATTCACGAATAAATTACTATCTTCCCATTGCAGAATGAATGCTATGGCCAATTTAACAACTTCACAGATAAATTAGAAGGAAAAAGCTGTAGTCCTCTGGGAAACATCTGGATGTGTAGTGAAAAGTGACAACCCTCCTCATGCCCTGGCTTAGGAAGTAGTGAAGGATCAGCAATCAAATGAGTACCTTGCTCTGATAATGTGAAGAAGCTTTCATTTGCTGTTTGCAGCCCTTGATTTTTCACGGGTTGGGGATTGATACCAAATTGTGCACTCAAATTACAGGTGCTATGGCTTCTATACCGTGAATGCAGGTCTTTAAAGTGCTTGGTTTAGAAGCCCATAGATGATCACTACATCTACAAAAGGCTTCAGGCTGGTTTAGGCATTTACAGTGTCCATAAGCAGCCATTGATTTAAGCAGCTCTGATTCCTGTTTTATAACAAAATTACATTTTGCCATGCTACCCGCTGCCTAGACTGGTAGATATAATGCTTTACTCTATGTTTTTCAGGATGGCAGTTCCCCATATGGTGCCAGGTATGTAGGCTCGATGGTAGCTGATGTTCACCGTACATTGATGTATGGTGGGATCTTCATGTATCCTGCTAATCAGAAGAGTCCTAAAGGAAAGGTAAATCATTTGACTTCATGTCTGGTGAACTTAGTCAATCTAATAGCTCTGTTTTTCCTGGACACGTAAAGGAATAGTTTACATATATGAACAGATAATAATTTTCCATCCCTGGAGAAAATTACTAATGGATATGATGGTTCAGCAATCAAATTTAGGAAAGAAACTTAAGCAATTGCCATTTTAGGCCAGAAATCTTATTGTGTGCTTTTATATTACAAACTAGTCAAATGGTTTTCACTGCAACCAAAGCCTTTATTCATATTTCTAGAGAGAAACATTTCAGTACCATAGAAACCTGTTGCGATCCCTATGCACAGCTGGCAGGTACAACACAGGCCCAAGGAAGGCTTCTGCACTTTGTACTGGCAACTAGAGTCCAGGTGGGATACGCTGAACTCCAGACAGGGTTTTGTCCAACATTAGACAACTGAGTTTGCCTACCTACTGTTTCCAAATGGTACTGCACTTACTATCACCAGCCCTGCAAACGCAGGCTTCTGCTAACTGATCTGAAAGACTCTGCCAGTGGAAGGTGAATTTCATGCATGCAGGATCAGTATTCTGGGAAAAGATGATTTCCCATTTGGACACCTGTATAAAACACACCATGACTTAATGGAGTGCAATGCAGTGCAGTGACTCCCTGAATGTGCTGCGCCATGGACCACAGTCAATCTCAAATTTTCTCCTGCAACATCAGATACCCTTATTATCAAACTTCTAAACAAATATGTTTTAAAAGAGATCTGGTTATACAGCTGATCTGTGGACCACCCGTAACATGCAGGTCATGCTTAGGAAATTATTACCTCAATGCATAATAGATTGGTCATGGTGTACTGACTCCAAGACCTTCTTTTTCCTGGTCAATGCCATACTTAAAACCTTCTATTTAAATGTTTTTATATCCTTGGCTGGTCTGTGCAGAAATTTGCCCTCATAAAACTACTTGTCCCATCTCCCACACTGGTATCAGAACACCCTGATGTCTACTGTTCTTTATGGACACAGGACTACTGGTTCCATTCTGGTGAGTTTGTATTTATCATAATAACAGCAGGTCCAAGTAGTCTGGGAAACGAAAACAGGAAAAAAACTCTCTTCAGAATACAGAACAGAAAATGTCTGCGTGTTTGTCCAGACAAATTTGATTCAAATATTTGATACAGCATCCCAGAAAAAAAACAAAGTGAAAACCACCACCACCACCAAAAAACAAACAAAAGCCCTCATTAAACAGTGTGGATATGTTTGTGTATCAGAGCAAGAGACAAAAAAGGAAATTGCTGTGTGTGGGAGAAGTGGGTTTGCTGACTGGCCTCTTAAAATTAAACAAATCTACAAAGTACTTATGTAATTTTCTAGAAATCAAGATTTCCACATGAGTTAGCCTACATCATTGACTATTGGATTGATCTGGCTTGCACTGCCATAGTAGAGAGAGTAATGAAAGAAGCAAAACTGTACTGTCATTACAACTAAAAGTTTCCTTCTTTCCCACTCAGGGTGCAGGTGTATACAGTTCTTTTCACACAAACCTCTTCTTGTTGAAAAGATAATGCCTTTGTGGCAGGTGCCCTGATCATCATACCCCTGAAAGACAGTCTATGCACGTGGATAGAGAGCTGAGAGGAAGCAAATGTCGTGGAATTGATCCAAAGGCTTTACAGCAAATGTAAATGACATGTATGTAGGCCCTAGCGTTTATTGCCCCTTCTTTAAGTTAAAGAAAGAATGAGAACAAAATGCTCAATAAGCAGTGCAGAACCAGGCAACAAATAGATCCTCTTTTCAAATCAGATATGTTAAGTAATATTTTTTATGAACTTAAGGCTTACAGTTGTCTACTAGGTGAGAAACGGTAAACCTATCTGAAGACAGAGCCCATCTGAAGGCCCCTAAGTGCAATTGCACTGCTACCTGAAGGAAAACTGCTTTCCTTCAGCCACATAATCAGAGTTAAGCAACAGGAAACTCAACACGTGGTTCCACAATGGTACCACTGCTGTTTTCTGGCTCACGATCTTCCAAAAGTTGGCCGCGCACTAAGGAGAACAACAAAGGCTATTAGTCCTATGTCGCCTGTCAGATGCTGTACCAGAAGTAGCACTTCGGTGGGCTTTAAAGATAATAATGAAGGCAATATGCACTATTTAAGTTTGTGATATATCATGGTTTTATTACAAACAGCGTGATAAAGGAATGATGGGTTGTAAAGTCCCGTGTTTGACCTATTTCTTTGTCTCTACATATGGTTGCATTCCGTCATGTTTCCTTTTCCCCAGAAAACATTCTTTTGCACATATAAAAAGCCCTTTAAACATAATACGTACTAACATTATCATACATGAGCACTTCATAGACCACCAAAGATCCAGCTAAACCTGCAGAAAAATGGCTGTTAAAACATAACCAGCTATCACCTATGTCCTTTTAAACACAGAAACTTTTGTTGTATGCCCCAAATAAGTTTGCATTTCACTGGAACACAGGCACCCCAGAGCTAACATTTTCAAAGATGTGAACAGATACCAGGGTCCAAAACAAAAGTGCCTCCATACTGAAAGGGAAAATTTTCTTTTAATAATTACTGCAGTTACTTCTGAAAACAGAGTTACTATCTGGATGAGTTCAGGCCACTGATATCTATTCACATTTCTGAAGGCTGCAGTCAAATCCTGAAATTTGAAACTGGGAGCATTGTGTTTCAAACTCCAAAATATCCTGACCAAACACAACACCATTACCCCAAGCCTTGAGGTAACACATAAAGACCTTACGTGAGAAGAGATTTTTGGCTTTTCTTTCCTGGTACTGTTAACTGAGCTGGCTTAACTGTTTTGCTGATGTGTGTGGGCCTGACAGCTACTTTGGACATTTTTGACAAAATACAGCTTCACTGATGCTGCACATTAGTATGTCAGCTTGGAAATGGTGGTGATGATGCTTGGAGGCAGGTTCAGTACACTTTTCCTCAAAACATAAAGTGTGAAGGGAGGTGAGAGGAATGGAGGGAAAAAGGAGGGGCCAATAGAGAGACAATGCTACTCAGGTCGATTGATGTTTGGTACAAAATTTTGCAAAATCACAAAAGGAATGTTAGGTTCTGGTAAGTCCTTTGGTGTAATTTCCCCCAACGGCAATCACGTATTCCCTCTTTCTTTCTAGCTCCGACTTCTCTACGAGTGCAACCCTATGGCTTTCATCATTGAGCAGGCAGGTGGGATAGCAACTACAGGGACTGAGGCGGTGTTGGACGTGAAACCTGACAGTATTCACCAGAGAGTCCCTCTTATCCTCGGGTCTCCAGATGACGTGCAGGAATACCTCGCTTGCGTACAGAAACACCAGAAGAGCAGCTAAAGGGTCTTCCATATCAGACCTTGCTCATTCGTCTCCAGTCTACAGGAAAAGCCGTACCTTTCAAGATGGTGGATTCTAGCAATTAGCACCTATCTCTCAGTGAAAATCCCACTTTATGGGAACAAGAAAAAATAGTGAGAATGGCTGTTGGGAAAAACAAATATTTCATTTCTCCATGAAGACAAATGTAAAAATCCTTTAAGTCTGATTTATGCAGTGCAAATGTAGAGACACAGGCCTGATTATTAAACAAAAGTGACTTACTTTATATAATATTAACAAAAAGAAGTGGATTGTGTCAGTATCCCCATTTGATCTGAAGCTAGACATCTGACATCACATGGCATTGTTTGAGACAGGATTTTCCCATCAACATTCACAATGCCATTATCTGAATTTTCTGCCAGAGGTTTTGTTGCAGGTGTTTTTTATCTTGTCAGCCCTGAGAAAACTAAAAGTGTTGTGCTGCCTGAAACAGTGTTTTTAAGCTCCAAATTATATATGCCTTGGGTAATTAATAAAGATGAAAAGGCTGCAATGTTGCCAGGGTATTTCAGTTCTTGCAAGAACAGGAAAATGCCATGTGTTATTTACAGACAGGTAACCTTCAATGGCACAAATCACAATAAACCATTGCTACAGATGTGACACTCAAATCATGCATATTCCCTCTTTATCCATCATCCTCTGGAACAGATGAGCTATTGTGACAAAGCCACTGCTACACCTCCATTTTCTTTTACTTTGAAAAGCTCTCATTTCAGATTGAAGCTTGCCCTTCCATACACACTATGCTGCTGTTCCTAGCCACCTCCAGCACTGACACCACCCAACGAGATCGGGAATCGGCTCTGAAACTAGAAGGCATCCATAGACCAATGAGAGCAAAAAACAGTAGTTACAAGAGATGTGCGATTATGTTAAGTGATAAGGGTGTGAAAACTGGGGTTTAGGTCACTTTAAGTATTAGACGTCCTGATGTCATGCTGGTACAAGACTTCATTAAGAACACTCCGTGAATTACATTAGGACATAAAGAGGAGTTAAAAATACCTCTGCCAAGAAACTCCAATGGTGATTTTTAAATTTACAACTATGTTCTATTATTCATAAGAGGCAGGCTGAACAAAGGCAGACAGAAAATTATACAGGACAGGTATTTACCCTTAGGTATTGTTATCCCAGGGGTAGGACGTGATTTCAGTACTGCTTCAGATATCAAAAGGCTCTTTCTGCGGGTCTTTATCTGGCACTCTTTAAAGCTGTGACAGCTGCCCAGGATCAGCAAGTACAGCGTGTACTTGTTTATTCTGTTCCTGTCACCTGCTTCCCGAATCTCTGCTACCAATAGCAAGACACAAGCAACACTTAGATCCTGGACAATGAAGAGGAAGCAAAAAAACCGAAGAGGGTTTAGGTAATAGCCAACTTTATACCAGAGAACGCAATTGTGTACTCTATGGAAATTAGTAAATCAGTTTTCCTGCAACCAAAATATGCACACAGTGTATGTGTGCATATATATGTGTGTATATATATGTTTATATATGTATTTTATACATATATAGTTGTTTATATGTGTATTTCATACATATAGAGTCACTCTGTCTCAGCCCCACAATCTCCACAGAACACCACCAACAGTTGTTGATGTCACCAATTTATTGAGAAACTCTATTGCATTTTTTAAATTGGAAACCTAAAACCAGCATTAATCAAGGCTAGTCTGGTAAGCTAACAATACCAGTAGAAAGAAGATCTACCATCAGAAGAAAGATCACTTGTAACCTGGCTCTGTTTCCAAAGGGCCAAGAGAAATGATTAAGGACAGAGCAAGAACAGGGACTTGGTACTCCCCAGTGTAATCACACGGCCTCTAAAAACAACCACTTTTTAGGGACGTGCTGAAACAAAGTTTGTATTGCAGTGGGTATACACACTCTAGTGACTAAGATCTATGTGGCTGTGCTGGCAGTTAAACTATGTGTACTGCAACCTGTCAGTCATTCAGTGCCCTAGTGCCAGCATAAAAGCACTTGAGTTGCCTTTATTTAAGTGTGATTTCACAGCAAAATCTGCATATAATCCCAGCTGCTAGCCTTCCCATGTTTGGTTGGGTTTTTTTTCCCCTGAGTTTGCACCAGAAGCACCTGTTAGTGGAGGACCTAGTGCTGGGTCACCCATCTGACAACTGCATTTTTGGGTGTCTGTTGGTGCTTAAATGATAATGCTCACAGTTTGTGGGGTGCCGGGTGGCTGGTATCTACAAAGACAGCAGTATCTTCCCTATATAAACAACTTATGCAGACTCCAAATGCAGATTAAGAAAGCAGAGACTTTCTTCGGTGTAAATTGTGGATTTTCTTCGCCAGAGTCCCACTTTGACCTACAGCATCTGCGCTGTTTTCCTAAGTACCCGCATGTTCTCTGCTACATCTAGCACAACCCTGCAACCAGACTGTCCTCCTCAAAGCCTCAGGACAGAGTTTAAAGTTTCCCTTTCCCTGGTGCTATACCAGTTCAGACCATTTCTCACACAAACCACAGGGTGCCTGTGGTGGGGCATCACCACTTACAAAGCCCTTGCGATAATGGGCCACAACTTCCCTTCATGGTCAGCTGGGTGTCTGAGGGCATCCAGACAGCTGAGAAAACAAGATGTAGCATTTTTTAGTTTTTTTTTTAAGAATCCAGAGACCATATTTAGTGGTTGGAGCGGTGAGAAAGGGGATGTACCTCGAGCTGCCATCAGTGCTGCTGGGAAGGGCAGGGAAGCTGGTGTGGACCAGCACTGATGATGGAGGTGCTCTGACTCTGTGTCCACCTACAGAAGGTGATGCCTTGTATTACTCCTCAGATAGTCATCAGCATGACACAAAATTGAAAACACATGAAAACATCAAGTACATGTATTTAAATATTAGTTCACACGTGTGCCTTCATATCAGTATTTAATTGTTTCTTGACGTAAAATTATATATAAACCAACACCAGCTTGATTTCCTATTACTTTTGGGGGAGGATGTTGAAAGGAAAGTATACTAGTTGCATTGTACCAGGTATATAACAAACAGGTTTGTTTTTAAAACACTGGTTTCCATCTTGCTGCCAAACCTTTCTTATTTCCCATTTCAGGGCACCTTTGGACCTAATTCAGAAGTAAAATAAAAGCAAACTACCTAAACCTCGTGGTATCCAATAACACAAGAAAACACAGAAACCCCACCAGTCTCTAATAAACGAGCAGTTGCTCGCTAGTTACTTTGACTGGAAATTAAGTTACTCTGAACAGCCAGCCGCAAAGAGCTGGCCTTGTGACTGCAATCACAAGATGGGGGGGATCGGAGCACAGGTTGGGGCTGGCAGGCTTCCCACCAGCCTCGCGGCGCCCAGCCTGCCCGTGCTGCTGCCCTGCCTGCCTGTGCAGGCAGCTCAGCCTTCCCTGAGAAAGCAACACAGCTGAAATGGAGAAGCTGTTTGAAATACTGGATCAAATGCGTCTTTGAGCATTTGTATCCAAAGTCAGTATTTTACTGTTTTCCATGAAATGAACACGCAGGGAGCTTTGTTGGACTTTTAATAAAGCCAACTGATATTTCTGGAAAAATCAGTCAAGAGTTTTCTTAATTTATAACATGGGAGCAGTATACTTCAGGCTAATTACAGACAGAGAAAAAGAAAGAGCTTTTAATTTACATAGATTATACTAACTAGTTAGTCTCATTGTGAGAAAAGGGTGGTTAGTACCTACGGAACAGGAGAGAGGGATTAAATTAACAAGAGGAAAGATGATAAAATCATTAACTCCTGCAAGATTGTAAAGATAAAAGTATCTGTTTTCCAGAGATATCCAAGGCCCAAATGTGGGTAAAGTAGCGTACAAAATTAACACAGAGGTAGAGGATCTGTGCACAAACGGTTACCCAGAGGCGCAGAACCCCAGAAGTTTTAAGGAGACAGTCCCTACCATTCAGGCTTCGTGTCATCATGGACAATACCGACAAACCCCATGCACTGCTACTAGAAAACACTTTCAGGTTTTGTCCCTAGGTCTCTGCAAATACAGATGTGGGTTCAGAAAACAGAAAAATAAAGACCTCAAACCAAGCATGTGATCTTATTACACTGATTTTAATACTTCACGGAGATAGATGACAGGTTTTCTCACTGAGATCTGCCCTGGGGGGTTGCTCTCACCGGACGCAATGATTTGCATCATGGTTTTTGCAGGATCCTCTTCATCTGGAGCTGAGCAGGTTTCTGGTAGCAGCTTTTGCAGTTCTGGCCACTACGATCGATGAAGGGAGTTTGGTGAGCCAGCTTGCAGAGGGTGTTGGCCAGCACAGTTACGTACTCACACGTCAATAAACGGAGCTTGGCATAAGCGTTCCTGTCAGCTGCTGAGCAGATCACCCGGTGAATATTTTATCACTTTTGAAGAGACACCTCCACAGCGGAGATAATACACCCGCTCAATTACCCGGCCAGCTGTGCCTCGGCTGAATGTGCAAGACCAGCCTAATCCCAGCCCAGGTCACGACCGTTCGCGATGTCTCATCGATTCAGCATTACACTCAGATGCACTGTCAGCACATGCCCGGGAAAGAAAGGAATCAACATCTCCCCACACCCAGCCGCTGCAGCACTGGCCTCGTGATCACATGCTGCAAAAAGCAAAACTCCGAGACAGCAGTGTGCCCGGCACTTATTTACTGGGTGACACACTATCCGTGTTTTGCCCTTTTGATTGCCTGGTTTCCTGTTTTCTTCCTGCATGGACAATTTTCTCCCTAACAGCTTGCTGTGATTTATTATTCCAGCACAGGAAGAGAAAAAAAGAGACTGCTCAAATGAAAAGAAAGCAGGGAGCATAAATGGAAGGGGCAAACGTAGATCTGAAACTTCAACTTGGTGAAGGAAAAAGAACAGGGATGTTTACCTTTTAGCTCTGTTGCAGCTACACTGGGATAAAAATACAGCCAAAGGACAAGGTTAGCCTTCTCTCAGACATACACAGGCAGCTGCTAATCAGCTGCACAGCCGCTGGCAG